ATGTACTGTATCTGTTCTAAGGATATAGTCAACTGTGGCAAGAATAATAAGTCAAACATGACCATTCCAATATCCATTAGAATACCAATTATCATTACATTGGAATACCATCACCCAACACATTCATTTGATGGTGCAGATAACAAAAGACTAAAGTGCTGTAATTAGCATGATGAATCCTCCTCTTCAACTCCTCAGCAAGACAAAAATGGGAAAGAGGATGACATAGCATAGAGGCTACCTACAGTATGTGCAGTGGCATCCATGAGATACTTGCCAAGGAAACAGAATGCTCCACTAGGGCCAAGTGTCTCATAAGAAAAATGTTTTCATTGCAGTAAAAGGAGAAACTCATAAATTAAGTACAATTTCTCCTGTTGTTGTCACATCCAAGAAAATATTAATGGATTTCGCTAAAAGGAAATAGAGTCTTAAGTTATGATTGCTTTGCAACAGCCCTGTCACTTTATGATGAATTGCACTGATTGGGTCTGCTACATAAAATCTGCTAAAGAGCGCATGGGATTAGAAGAATACTGCCATTCTTCTAAAGAGTAACATGCTGTAACATAGATAACAAGTTCCCATAACGAAGGACTTGAAGCTACTCTCTGAAGGTGATTGATAATTGTATTTGAATGGTCCCATGTTGTGCACTTCATCACTGTTGTTTTGATATGCCCTCTGTATAATTATATTATGAGTTATTGCTGGTAAGGGACAAAGAATTTTATGGTTTGCTTTGTTGACTCGAGCAGCCACTGGCATGGTATGAAAGAAGTGGGAATTTTGTATGGTTATACATAGTTTAAATGGCATTGGAAACATGGGCAATTGGACAGTACAAGAGGCAGAGAAATTCATGTTTATGCAACTGTGTAAAAGTAGTAATGGAACTGAGCTTTAGGACATATTTGGGATGGATGATCCCAAATATCACACCTACACACTTTACTGGAAGGTGTGTGAAAACCAGAGGAAACACATGCAGACTATGGGAGAGCATATGAAACTTTTAATTAATTAAATTTTTGATTAAATCAATAACCCTGGTGCTGTGAAGTAGCCAGGCTACCCCCTGGGGCACTGTACTGCCTTTGATATGTTTCTTTTTGATAAGTATTTTTGGCTCATACTCTGGTTGTACATTCTATTTTTATAAAAAATGAAGTTGAAACTTTGAAGAATGAAGAAATGCAGGGGCTTGAAGCCTCCCAATTATTATTGGGGTTTATACAAGGTCACCATCAATAACAAATAGCCACTGCCCCTCATGTCCAGTTCCTTTTTTTCCTCAGATATGCCAATATTTTCACTTAGTTTGACTTGTGGAACACATACCACTTGGTGTGCATTTAGCACCCATGTAAGTATTTGGTTATGCCATTTGGCTTGTTAAATAGCCCTGCAGTTTTTCCGACTCTGGTAAAGGATGTTTTGAGGTGAATGTTTTTGTATATCATGATGACATCCTGGTTTTTTATGTTTTACTAAGTGTTTTCAGGAGCGTAACTTACAGGTCCACCACATTATCTGCCACCAGCTAGAGAACTAATGTCATTCTTGGGGATTTGGATCTCTTTAGAAGGGTGGTTGATAGACGTAGAGAAAGTTTGAGCTGTGGCCGATTGGCCAGTTCCCATCACAATGAAGCAAGAGTGCAGGTGTGTGGTTTTGATAGATGTAATTTTAGTTCTATGGCAGACTCCTTCAGTGCCCTGAGCAAGGGAGGGAAGCTCCACATCCAGTGGATGCCTGAAGCTCAGAAGGCATTTGAAGCCGTAAATAATTGATTGGCTTTGATAATTCCTAATCCATACCTGCTTCAGCCCTTCTTTGTGAAGGTGCATATCTCTGACACCAGTGTCATAGTAATACTTTCCCAGAAGATGCCAGCTGCTAACAAGACTCAACCCTTTGACTTTTTTTTTTTATCTCATAAACTCAGTCCTCCAAATAGTAATCATGATGCTAGGGACTAAAAACTTGCAGTCATCAACCTGACAGTGGTTGCGGTGGGGCACCCACTCATTTCAACTGCTCACTAACCATAAGAAGCTCCAGTCAAACATGGTCTTCTTTGTGGAAATTTATGGACATTGTATTTGAGATGTATATAAGATGTGTAGGGAAAATGGTTCTGTTTATACAGGAAGCTAGGAAGTTAATTAATCAGGCTCATAAAATGATCAGTCTCATTTATTAATCAGTCTCAGAGAATACCCACCTTTTATGTTTTTATGTTTAAAGTTTTATTAGAAATTAAAATTACCAACCTTTAAAAAAAAATTAAAATTATTAAAATCTCAACCTTTTAGTTGAGAACAATAATAATCATTTACTTGGTTTATGAAAGCTTAGTTCTGAATAGTTTGGCTTCTTGCAATATCAAAGTAATAACCATAACAAGGCAATAAGGTGTTCAATAATATAGCGTTTATTGAAATAGAATAGAATAAACACCAATTAACTATTAATTATTAATTTAATTCTAAATAGGGACAGGTGGTGTGAGAGAAAGCGAGAGGGAGAGGACAGAAATGTGTGCATGTCCGTGTGTATGTGTGTGTGCGTGTGCGCGTGCGCGTGTGTGTGCGCGCGGAAGGGAAAGAGAGAGAAAGCATGGCTGTGGGTGTGGATGCATGCTCTGCTCTAGAGCAGGCTTGTCCGTGTGCATGTGTGCGTTTCACATGAATTTAATGGGAATAACACTATGGAGTTTGGATCTTATTTTTTCCATGACAAACAGAGATCACTGACGGAGTGTGTCACTCAGAGATGTCCAGGAGGTGCCTGCTGCAGAGGTCCAGGTGGGAAACCGCACAGATGTGTGGCCTCTGCTTATTGGACGCATTCCTGAACTGTCCACTAATATCATGTCTGTGTGTCACCAAGCAACAAGAACATGAGGTGATGGCCTGAAGCTTTGTTGGGGCTAGATCACACAAGTGTAAAATATGCCCCCTTCATATTTTCTGATCAAGAATGGGCTCCTATATTACGACACTGAGTGACATAGACAGGTGTGTGACCTGCTGGTGGTACCCAGGTCAAAGATCAACCTATTGATGCATGTTGCCCACTCTCATCTGCTAGGAGGCCACTGGGGGCCCAAGAATACCCTGGAGAAGGTCTGTGATTGTTTTCACTGGCCTGGCATGTATGTCCACAATGCTCTCAATGCCAGTTAACGTCCCCCAAATTGCCTGGAGTGGCACCCCTTATCCCTCTACCCATCATCAGAATCCCCTTTGAAAGAGTGGGGATAAATCTTGTGGGGACAGTGCTGAAATCCGCCCTGGGTCATAAATAAATTTTAGTCACCATCGACTATGCCACCCGATACCCTGAGACACTTCCCCTCAGATGAGCAACTTCCTGCTGCATCGCTTTAGAACCGTGCGGGCATCCCAAAGGTCCTCCTAACTAAACAAGGTACACCATTTTCCTCTCAGCTAATGGCTGATCTCTGTCAATTGTTACAGGTGAGGCAAATGCAGACATCTGTCTACCATGCACAAACCGATGGGCTCATGGAATGGTTTAACCAGATGCTGAAGGGAATGTTGCGGTGGGTGGTAGATGAAGAAGAAAGAAACTCAGACCTCCTCCTCCCCAATGTCCTATTTGCAGTATGAGAGACACCACAAACATCTACTGGGTTTACTCCTTTCGAAATGTTGTTCCGCTTGAGACTTGCGATGTTGCGAAGAAATCTTGGGAAGAGCAACCCTTGCCCTTCCTCTCCATCATAAAATACATCCAGCAGATGCAGGAGCATATCAACCGTGTTTGACCTTTTGTTAAGCAGCATATGGAAGAGGCACAGGCAGAACATGCAGAGAGTGTATAATCGACCAACCCAGCCTTGAGAGTCCCTGAAGCCTACTGCTACGCTATTGAGGAGGAAGTAGCCAAAATGCTGTGGGAGGGCATCACTGAAGAGTCCACCAGCCCCCGATCCAGCCCCAATGTTGTGGTTCCAAAGCATTTGTAATGACTTCCAAAGGCTGAACCAAGTGTCTGGATTCAACAGCTACCCCCTCCCTTGGGTGAAACACCTGGGGAGAGCCTGCTTCATCTTTACCCTCAAACTGACAAAGGGCTATTAGCAGGTGGCCCCAAGGCAAAACTCAAGACAGGTTTTAGTACCTCCAGCGGCCACTGGCAATACTGGGTTCTCCCCTTCAGACTCCATGGAGCACCTGCAATGTTACAGAGGCTTATGGTCATTGCCCTTTGACCCCACCGCCTGGTCACAGCCACTTACCTAGATGATGTCATCCATCAGTTCCACCTGAGGGTAATCCTATCAGAACTCAGGAAAGCCAGACTCACTGCTAATCCTAGAAAATGCCATCTGGGGCTGACCAAGGCACAGTACCTGGGGTACCATATTGGGCAAGGCTTGTTAATGCCACAGGCAAAGAATAGTGAGGCAGTTAAAGGGTACCCAAAGCCTATCACAAAGCATTTGGTATATGCCTTTTTTAGGGTTGGTGGGTTACTACAGGAGGTTCGTGCCTAATTTCTTTTCTTTAGCTTCCCCCCTCTCAGATCTCACAAAAAAAAGCACAGCCGAGCCAGATGTGGGGGACTGAGGAGGCAGAACATGCCTTACTAACAAAAGCACTCACCAGTTCTCCAATTTTGAGGAGCCCCGACTTCGAGAGCTGTATTCTCATGGACATTTGACAGAAAAGAGCACCTGGTCCTGCACATGAGTAAAAAAACTGACCCCCACCAAACAATACTTCGTTGCTGTGGAGTGAGAAGCTCTAGCCATACAGTGGGTGATTGAATAACTAAAGTATTATCTGTCTGGCAGACATGTCACCAATCAGGAGCACGATGAGAAAGCACAGCCAGAGGTAGATAATCACCACAGCTGCCCCATCTCTCCACTTAAATCAATGAGTATAAAAATATATGTATGTATATATATGTGTATGGATATAAATATATAAGGAAGTTAAAAGAAAAAGGAAAAAAACAGTGAGGGCAGGGGTAGCTCAGTGGTTAGGACATGGGGCTACTGATCAGAAAGTCATGAGTTCGATCCCCAGCACCGCCAAGCTGCCACTGGCAGGCCCTTGAACAAGGCCCTTAACCCTCAACTGTTTAGTTGTATAAATAAGATAAATGTAAGTCGCTCTGGATAAGGGTGTCTGCCAAATGCTGTAAATGTACAGTGGCTCTGTTATGGTGGAGGGGAAATTTTAACTACTGTTCAGTCATTCGTTTTCAGAACTGATATGGATTGTGTAGGTGTGAAGAGGAGGCAAATCATCCCTTTGAACATGGGGAGGGTATTGCACATACTCTTATTTCTTATGTTAGTAAATTCAGGTTACACAGTATTTCTCTTCATTCTCTGATCCTCTCTTTCTAATAGTTAGCTTCCCGCCAAGGGACTTAATATTGCAGAGAGCACTTCGGAAGTCAACTGGATTTTTTTTTTTTCCCCAGAAAAATTTGATAAATTAGAATTATTTACAGACGCTAGTTTTTGTGGCAGAAAAAGGCAGACCTTACATTACCTTTACATAGACCACAAAATATAGATACATTCACTTATTCAACAAAATATAGGGGACAACAAAATGAGAAAAAAAGAGAAAATGAAATTAAGGAAAATGAGGTTTAAAAAGCAGAGCTATCATGCATGCATTAGCATTCAGCTTGCAGTGCAATCTATGCAAATTAGGTATGTGAAAGCTTTCTTATCAGAGAAGTTCTTTTTATTATGCAACACTGCAAAAGCCAGTGATTGGGACCAGATTTGCAGCATTTCAAGTGTAAGGTAATAATCATTTGATAGCCCTAATTGCATAGATATTATGTTCAAAAAGGTCAAATGAGCTTTTTCGTCTGAGAACCATCTGTCCAATGATCTCTGTGTAATGCGCTCATAATTCTGTGGATCCAAAGTAAAAGTCAGTGAAATGAATCATTGAGTGTAAAAAAGCTCTAATCACTCTACTTTGCACAGACCAACGAAGGAAAAGAATAGAGGCAGATAGAAAGGGATTAGGCATTCCATTAAGAGTGATAGAGCAGAAGAATGGATGAATGTGCCATTATCCTCTGTTTAGCCACACACCGTGGAGGAGAGAAAGGGAACAGTTTGACTCGGCTGTCCTGTTGCATGCTTGAAGAAGACCATATGTCTATTGCTTTTGTATACTACTACAGATGATCTAACACCTGACAATATGAGAGATGAAGCATAATAGATGAACAATTATAATCCCATCAGCTCCACAGTTATAAGATCAGTCAGTCTCTTATCCTAGCCATCGGATGTCAAGCCACGTGTGTCAATTTTCTTAAAAAGAAAAGCATTAAATGTGGCAAATGTCTCAATGCCACTGTGTTGACTTTCATTTCGTGACAGAACAAATAGTAAAGGCATCAAAAGACTCAATATTAACATCTGAAATTCCATGAAAGCCATTATTGCTAGTTCCGTCAGCTCTGCGCTGTGATGGACATGATTAATATAGACTGGTTAAAAAGATGTTTTTTAAAAGACATTTCATGAAAGCTTTTAATGCGAATTATCATTTAGTAGTGGTAGTTGTTTGTTGTTATTTGTTCTGGATAAAACTGCTTTATAGGGTTTTTTTTTTTTTTTTTTTGGTGAACTAGCCGATTGCATAATGCAGCCGGCTGCATAACTAGCAAAAATCCACAAACCTAGACTGTTTTTGTGCTGTTCAACCCATGTCAGCACAGCACAGAATTTCATCTTAAACGTTAAGATGAAAATTAACAATTTCTCATCAAAAAGCCAAGAGACACACAGTTGCAAATTTGTAAAACTACACCCATGATCGCAGTTGTATTAAACATTAGATTAGAGACAGGGTTAGCAACTTTATTTGGATGAAATAGAAAAAAAAAAAATCATCTAACCATACATCCCTCATGATATCATCCAAATTAGTATGCTTTTTAATATCGAAAAAGTAAAAGATATCGTTTCAAAATATATCTGTATGAATATTGTATTTAATTCCTAGAAATTCAATTCAATTCAATTCAATACATTTTTATTTGTATAGCGCTTTTTTACAAAGGTCATTGTCTCAAAGCAGCTTTACACAAACAAAAGTAAGTGAAATAAGTAAGTAAGTGAAACCATAGAATGGATCGGCTGAGTCATTTTTAAGAAATTAATTATTTAACAATTTATTATGGGATCATTTTTAAGAAATTACATTTAATAAGTAAAGCCATACCTGCTGTGAAGGGTATGAATTCATGTCTAAGGGTTTAGATTGGTGATGAAGGGTATTGCAGGACATACAGTTTTCTTTGTGAAAGCTGTCTTTGTTCGAATCATTATGATTATGGAATCTTCCTTTGTTTTCAACCATACAGCAGAGGTTTTCCCTTTTCCAAAAATGTTCCTAGTAGAACCCCTTTAAATAGCAAAAATTATCTAATCAGCCAATCGTGTGGCAGCAGTGCAATGCATAAAATCATGCAGATAGGGGCCAGCAGCTCTGGGTAATGTTCATTTCAAGTCAAGTCACATCAAGTGGCTTTTATTGTCATTTCAGCCATATACAGTGGAATGAAAAAAATGTTCCTCCAGGACCATGGTGCTACATAAAACACAAAACTAGTGACTAGTGCACAGTTCTAGCATGGATAAAGTGGACATATGTAGCAGGCTGTGCAAAAGGATATAACAATATAATACTAAAATACTGTAAATGTAAACATAACATACTATGATACTGCATTTACTATGATAAATACAGTGATAGCAGCAAGAGTCCAGCCATTCAATCATCAGAATGGGGAAAAATGTGTTCTCAGTGATTTTGACCATGGTGTGATTGTTGGTACCAAAAGGACTGGTGTAAGTATTTCAATAACTACTGATATCCTTGGATTTTCATGCACAACAGTCTCTATACATTACTCAGAATGTTGCAATAAAGTTTAAAAAAAAAAAAAAAAAAAAAAAACATCCAGTGAGTGGCAGTTCTGCAGATGGAAACACCTTGTTGATTAGAGAGGTCAACAGACAATGGCCAGACCGGTACAAGCTGACAGAAAGGACACAGTAACTCAGATAACCACTCTACAATTGTGGTGAGCAGAAAAGCTTCTCAGAATGCCTAACACTTTTTTATGCACCAAAATTGGATTTTGAAGGACTTCACAGGAGACATGTATTTCACATTACATTTTTATATGACATACACTCACCATCCACTTTAATAGGAACACCTACACCTGCTGATTTATGCAGTTATTCAATCATTCAACCATGTGGCAGCAGCACAATGCATAAAGCCATGCAGATACAGGTCAAGAGCTTCAGTTAATGTTCACATCAAACATCAGAATGGGGAAGAAGTGTGTGAAATCTCTGTGACTTTTGAAGCGTGGCATGGTTGTTGGTGCCAGATGGGCTGGTTTGAGTATTTCAGATACTGCTGATCTCCTGGGATTTTCACACACAACAACAGTCTCTAGAGTTTACTAGAATTGTGTGAAAAACAAAAAACATCGATTGAGCAACAGTTCTGTGGGTGGAAATGCTATGTTGATAAGAGAGGTTAGAGGAAAATGGCCAGAATGGTTCGTGCTACCAGGAAGGATATAGTAACTCGTATAATCACTCTTTACAACCGTGGTGAGCAGAAAAGCATCTCAGCAAGCACAAAACTTTGAACCTTGAGGTGGAGGGGCTTCGACAGCAGAAGACCACATCAGGTTCCACTCCTGTCAGCCAAGAACAGGAATCTGAGACTATCATAAAATGGACAGTTGAGGCTTATAAAAGAAATCACCTGGTCTTTTTCCAGTCTTGTCCATGATGGATGGGATAATTCCCTTTAAACAAATAGACAGGCCAAAACAGAAAACACTCGAAACATGATGATTGTGAACTAGGGGAAATGAGGAACTGTAGAAACTAGTAATACAAGGAACTAGGCGATTCAGAACATGGAATATACTGTAAAAGCAATTTGTATACATGCACAACTCTGTGAGAAATAGTCAAATATTTACAGGTTAGTAAATGATGGTAAACAGTTGCTTGACACTGCTCAGGAGCATGGACAAAGCAGAGATGGAGCAGGATCTGACATGTGGAGGCTGTGTCAGTCTGCCAGTGTTTCAAACCTGTCTGCCTGTGATGGCTACATCTCGCGTGTAGGCTCCAATAAAGCCCTAAGAACATCATTTAACTGATGTAGTTTAGCGAACTGTTTTGAAAAATATGTCTCACACACAAAACTGCCCCACCTTTACCATCATGCACCATTACATAACAACGTAACAGCAAGCTAGGCACACTAAACAGTGTATCTAGGACACTTGCTTATCTGTAATATATTATTCAGTCATATAGATTAGTCATATACATACATTGCAGTGCTGTTACTCTGGTGCCGTGCTTTGAAATTGCTGTATGGGTTTATATATTTATTTATACAAATTTAAATCAGCACAGATCTGTTTCACAAGATACACAATCTGTGCCGCTGCACATGTAACAATTAAAAAGGTGTAGGAATTATCAGTAATTGAGCATGCTGATTTTGTTTAATTATTAACCAAGCTGTGATTTTCAATTTTCAAATAATAATAATACATTTTTAATCCGTGCTTGTTTGGGAATTGATACAATTGGCAAATTCACATTAACAAACAACAAAGGATTTCCCCAATGCATGAAGAGTCTCTGAAATGTCATATGTGGTAGTAATCTCTGCGAGAAATAAAGATATTCGCATTAATCATCTTCTGTATTTATGGTGTTATTTCTCACTTATCAGAGACAGGATGATAAGTTCTGCTAGGTTCATGCCTCAACCCACTCATCCAAATACAGATGACACATAAATACAGGCAGGCAGGCAGCTGAGGAGGTAAGAGATATGAAATTAAAGGAAAATCCAACATAAAGTATCTTAAGTTGTTGTGCCACCATAAGACATGAAATGCTTAACTGCACCAGAGGTATGGAAGACTATTCTTCCAAAAGTCATTCCCTCAGATGGTGTTTGATGATAGTGATTGAGAGCATGGTTTAACACATCAGTA